TTATTGGCTCCAGCAGAGGGGCCCCAGCCCGTCCCCACTTGTGCCTGGTCACATCCTATCTCAGAGTGAATATTCTGTTCCCTCTGCCTCAACGCCCTTTTACCTGATCCTCACCAGACCACAGCCTGTTTATCTTTCAGAATTTCTTCTTCTTCTTTTTTTCAAGACTTTGTTTTTTAGGTAATCTTTAAACCCAACATGGGGCTTGAACTCACAGCCCCAAGATCAAGAGTTGCATGCTCTACTAACTAAGCCAGCCAGGTGCCCCCACGATTTCTTCTTAATGTCACTTCTTCCTAACCAAGAGGTTCTTCATGGGATCTTGTGCTTTTCCACTGGTGGCGCTGCTCACATTTGAGCTCATTTGTTTTGTATGATTGTTCCTGAGATCTTGGTCTCTCCTGTTATTTGGTGATCTCCATGGGGTCAAAGGCAAGGTCCATGTTCCTCTTGCTTCCTGCTGTATCTCCAGCATTTGACCCAGGGCCTGACATCGAGCAGGTGCTCGGTAAATGAATGACGATGAATAAATGAACAAATGAATGAATGATGGATGGATGTTGTGGAAGGAGAGATTCCCCTGGGCTGATGCAGTTGTCCTTTCAAAGCAAATGGTCTCTCCTACTAGGGCATTTGGCATGTTGTACTAAATGTCCCATTTGTCTGCCCTCATGTACCCATAAGCTCCTAGAGGACAAGGGTTGGATCATAACAATCTTTTTATCTTCAGAGTGTGGCTCACATAGAAACTCAATGATGGTTTGTGGGATGAAGGATGCATTGTGCATGAATGGAGGGGGACTTATCTGGGTTTTAAAGCATGCTTGGGGGTGAGAGGAAGATGGAGGAAAAGTGAATTGAAGCATCCAAAATAGCAGTAAGACTTGGGAGGCAAACAAGATTAGGGTTAAGGAAAAAAGCTGAAAACCTGAATTAGAAAAGTACTGGGTAGCCACCAGACATGGCTTGACAGGATGTACTCATACTACAGATTGGAGGGTTGGGGTGGAGAAGTCACTTGGAATTTCCCCAGCTGAACTTAATGTCTGTCTTTCAGCTTGCTGTTCACCTCATGAACTTTAGCCATTCAACAAATATTCATCAAGCACCCATTCCATGCATTCCCAGTGGGGGAAATATGCCCCCCGAGCATAGAAATTGGCTATTTGGGGGGTGAAAAAAATCTTGTTGTTTTTATATATGAAGCATAGACGTACATATAGCACATAAACAGTGTACAGTCTGTGGTATTAAAATTTCATAGTGGGGGTGATTAGGACAATATGTCTAAGAAGGCTCTTTCAGGGGATGGTAATGAAAAAGAGTTCTCAGGTTGAGAACCGACGGACTCTGCACTAAGCATTATCTGGTCAAAGTGCACACTCCCATGGCATTTTCATTCTCGTGAGGCAGATAGATAACAAACAAATAAGTAACCAGAACTATGCCAGAATAAGAGATGTTATGAAGAAAAAAAGCAAGGCAAGGGGATGGAGCACATGGGAGTGAGGGTGGGCATGTTTGTGGTTATTTTAGCTTGGGGGTCAGATGATCCTTATGAGGTGACACTTGAGTCTGAAAGAAGGGAGAGGTGAACATGACAAATATTTGGAGGAAGAGCATTTCAGGAAAAGGCAATAACCTGGGGGGAATCGAAACAGCAAGGAAGCCACCTGTGTGGGAGTGGATGAGTGAGGGATGGTAGGAAATGAGCCTGGAGATGGGAGGGGTCAGATCACACAGGTCCGCTGGCCATGCTAAGGGGTCTGGACTTTGCTCTGAGTGGGAAGGAAGCCGTTGGAGAGCTTTATTCAGGAAGTGGCATGATCTGATTTACCTGCTGATAAGATTCCTCTGGCTGCTCTTTGGGGGTAGACTGTAGAGGCAGGAGTGGAATGGGGCAGCAAGGAGGTGGTTGCTGGGGTTTAGGTGGCAGGTGATAGGGTCTTGGGTGAAGGTGAGGGGTCAGGGTCCTGTGTGCTGTGAAGGAAGAGCTCTCGGGATTTGCAGAAGGTTGAATGGTGGGTGTGAAAGAAATGAGTCAGATATGCCACAGTTTTAGCCTTGGCCCCTGGGTTCCATTTACTGAGCCAAGTGGACTGTAGGAGGAGGGTGTCTTCCTAGGGGCCAGTCTTAGAGTGAGGTCTTCCTTCCACCAGCTGCTGGCCCCTCCTACGGTTCCTTATTTTTCATCTCTATACGTTGCCACCTTATTTTCCTTTAGGGAAGGAACTTTTGAAAATTTTTATTTATTTATTTTTAAAACTTCTCCAAGAGGCAGGCAGTGGGGCAGAATGGTTAAAGTGTTAGTTGGTGGGGCGCCAGGGTGGCCCAGTCGGTTAAGCATCTGACTCTTGGTTTCAGCTCAGGTCGTGATTTCAGGGTCATGAGATTGAGCCCCCTCTCAGGCTCTATACTCAGCACAGAGCCTGTTTGAGATTCTCTCCCTTTCCTTCTGCCCTGCACACTCCCCGCCTCCAACTCTCTCTCAAATAATAAAATGAATAAAATCTTTAAAAAAGTGTGTGCTAGGGTGAGTGTTTTAACTGCTTACCTTCTAGTCTTACTTCCCTTTTTCTTCCTCTTCTTCCCCCTTCTTGATTTTTTTTTTTTCTTGTCAAGTAGAGATGGCAACAGTATCTACTTCCTATGGCTTGTGAGAGTGAAGTGAGATTTGCATGTGAAGTGGCTTGTGTGGGTCTGGCAAACAGTTGTCAATTGGCAGTTATTATGTTGCATGGCTCCCCCCTTCCCATTAGATTTTTGGGCTGCTGGCTCTCGTATCTCAAGGTCATCCATGTTGGAGCACGTTAGGGTGAAGGTATCACTTTTTCTCCTTCCATGTCTTGGTTTTCCTTTACATAAAAGGGGGAAGCAAGACTTAAGAGATGAAACAGTGGAGTCCCTCCAATGCAGGTATGTACATTGTTTATTGCATTGTATTCTTTTATTTATTTATTTATTTATTTATTTATTTATTTATTTATTTATTTGAGAGAGAGAGAGAATGAGAGACAGCAAGCACATGAGAGGGGGGAGGGTCAGAGGGAGGAGCAGGCTCCCTGCCGAGCAGGGAGCCCGATGCGGGACTCGATCCCGGGACTCCAAGATCATGACCTGAGCCGAAGGCAGTCGCTTAACCAACTGAGCCACCCAGGCACCCTATTGCATTGTATTCTAAGTATAAAAGGCTACATTTAGTTGAGGGTGATAGAGAAGCCATTGCATGCCATCCAGGGAAGCAAGTGCCCAGTGGATCATCCTGAGTAGGCGGAATTGATGCTACAGCAGGAGCAGTACAAGACGTGTATATAGTAATCACCAAATTGTGTGGACCCAATCAGAATAAAAATGCCTGGAGCTCTGGCTTAGGGCCATGGATGAATGGAGCATGAAGCCTGGCATGGAACAGGAGTGGAAGACACAGGTGTAGCACGGTGACAGATATAAACAAATGTATAGAAGTATAAACAGAGATGAAAATAAGTGGCTGCCTCTTTCCTTCTCTGTATTTGTGACAGACTTTGTTAATCCATCACATCATTCAGTCCTGATTTTGATATAAAACTACTGTTTATTGAATGTTTACTGCATGCCAGGCACTGTGTTCTAGAAACATCACCTGGCTTACTCCCAGCAACCCAGTGACCTAGATCTATTATTATCCTAATAGAACAGGTGAGAAAAGTGGTCTCAGAGAGGTCAGTCACTTGTCCAGGATCACGCAGCTGGACAGGGGCCGAGCTGGGATTACAACCCTGTCAGCCAAACTCAAAAGCCTGTTCTCGAATTATTTTGTGTTACTACCTCTAGATATGCCCAAATGCTACCTCAGAATCTTTCTCCCTGGTAAATTCATTCTCATCTGCTTCCTTAAGATTTTGAGATTCAGGTTCATATTACAGTTGACGTTCATTTATTGGTTTCATTCATTCGTTCACTAATTAAACAATAGTTTTGTGCATCTACCATATACCAGGCACAGTGTTAGGTGCTAAGGATTCAGTAGTGAGTAGGACATAATCCCTGCTCAGGGCTCTAGTTAGTGGAAGGATCACTTCTTGTTTACGACTCTCAGTGGGGAGGAAGACTCAGAATTGGTATGATTTGGGACTAACATAGTGCCTCCTTCCCTGCATTGAACCAGAAAGTTTCCCAATTGATGATGGAAATCAGCAACAATCTGAAATATGAATTATGATGCCCCAGCATGCACCCTGGACCAAAATTGGGCCAGGCGTCACCTTTTTCTGACTTGACTGATTAAGCTATTTGATCTTGGGCTTCTATTATAATTCATGGTCAAGCAATGCTTTCTCATGCATTGTTCACTTTGCTCCTTCCAGCATCTGATTAGAAAGAGGAGGTCTCTGATGTGCAGAGAAGTTATGTGACTTGCCTACTTCTTACAGTGGTAGGAGACAAGCTGGGACTAGAACCCGCTTCTAACTTCTAGCTCCTTGTTTTTATTATCTCATCATGCTAACATCTTGATGTCTTTACACTTTGTTTCCCATCTATAAAATAAGGAAATTAAGTCACATGATCTCTAAAACTAACTTCCTTCTTTCCTTCCTTAACTCTGGAGTACCTACCATGATCCAGACATTATACTAAAGCAGGAAGTAATATTATGGAAAATGCACACACACACACACACACCCATCAAGAAAGTTAAAAGACAACCCACAGAATGGGAAAAAATGTTTCCAAATCGTGTATATGGGACTTGTATCCAGAACATAGAAGGAATTGTTACAATGCAACAAAAAAGACGACCCACTTAAGAAGTTGGCAAAGGAGGGCGCCTGGGTGGCTCAGTTGGTTAAGTGACTGCCTTCGGCTCAGGTCATGATCCTGGAGTCCCGGGATCAAGTCCCGCATCGGGCTCCCTGCTCGGCAGGGAGTCTGCTTCTCCCTCTGACCCTCCTCCCTCTCATGCTCTCTGTCTCTCATTCTCTCTGTCTCAAATAAATAAAATAAAATCTTTAAAAAAAAAAAAAAGTTGGCAAAGGATCTGAATACACATTTTTTCCCTTTTTTTTTTTTTAAGATTTTATTTATTTATTTTGACAGAGAGAGAGAGACAATGAGAGAGGGAACACAGCAGGGGAGTGGGAGAGGGAGAAGCAGGCTTCCCACTGAGCAGAGAGCCCACATGGGGCTCGATCCCAGGACCCTGGGATCATGACCTGAGCTGAAGGCAGATGCTTAATGACTGAGCCACCCAAGGGCCCCTGAATACACAGGGACATACAAATGGCCAGTAAGCACATGAAAAGATACTCAACATCATTAACTATCAGGGAGATGCAAATCAAAACCACGGTGAGATACCACTTCACACCCAGTAGGATGGCTATGATCAAAAGAAAGAGAATAACAAATATTGGTAAGGATGTGGAGAAACTGAAACCTCATACACTGCTAGCAGAGTTGTAAAATAGTGCGGCCACTTTGGAAAACAGTCTGGCAGTTCCTCAAAAGGTCAATCATAGAGTTACCACATGACCCAGCAATTCTACTCCTAGGTGTATACCCAAGAGACATGAAAACATATGTCTACACAGAAGATTGTACACAAGTGTTCACAGAAGCTTTATGCATAATAGGCAAAAAATGGAAACAACCCAAATGCCCATCAATTGATGGGCAGATATACAAAATGTGGCATATCCATGCAATGGAATATTATCCATTCATAGAAAGGAAATGAAGTCCTCATACATGCTAAAACACAGATAAACTTTGAAAACATCATGCTAAGTAAAAGAAGTCAGCCACAATAAGGAAATCACTTATTGTATGGTTTCATTTATTTAAAATGCACAGAATAGGCAAATCTTTAGAGACAGAAAATAGATTAGTGATTGCCTAGGGCTGGGGGAAATGGGGAGTGGCTGTTAATGGGTATTAGGTTTATTTTGGGGATGATGAAAGTGTTCTAACAATTATGTTGATGGTTGCGTTCTCTGTGAATATACTGAAAACCAATGTAAATAAGTGAATAGTATGGAATGTGAATTATATCTCGATAAAGCTATTATATATATGTTAAAAACCCTAGCATGGTCTCTGCCCTTGTGGAAAACATAATCTTTCTGGGAAGATAAATATTAATCAAATAATTATACAGAGAGATTTATAGTTACAAATTATGATAAGTGCTATGAAAGGAACGAACTGGATATTATGAAAGAGAATAGCAGGAGGCTAATGGGGGTTAGCGAAGAGGTATTAGAAAAACTGCAGCATTCAGGTGCTCCAGCAGAGATCCCCAAATAGCACTGGCTTAGAAGAGGCAAATGTTTAATTCTCACTGGTGTGGTAGTGCAGGTGTAACCAGTCTAGGGCTCATATGGAAACCCTACAATTTTTAAGGATCTTCTAACCTGTTGCTCTTTTTCTCCCTTGGAGCGGCTCTCCACCATGTCTACAGTCTAAGCAGTGAGAAGGAGAAAAGGGGCACAGGAAGGCTCATCACTTCTGCTCAGAGCCAGAACTCAGTCACACAAGACTGGGGTGTACTGGGTGTTCATGTGCCCAGACTAAATTCTGGGGTTCTATTACTGAAAGGGGGGACAAACAGAGGTTGGGTGAACGGTTAGCAGTCTTTGCCATAGATGGCCTCTCTGAGGAAGTGACATTGAAGGTGAGAACCTAAGGATGAGTTGCTGTTAAAGAGAGGGAAGAGTTTTGCAGGCAAAGGGGATGACGTGTGTCAGGGACAGGAAGCAGGAAGGACCAGCTATAGTGTTTAATGCTGTTTAATGGAGTGTGTGTCTACCACAACCGTCCCTCCCAATGCTTAGAACTTATGAGTGCTGTGACTTGACCGGGGTTCACCTGCCTTTTCTCTCTCGTATCTTACAGGGCTGGGGCTGGCCAGGACTGCAAGGAGGGGGGCTTCGTGCTGACTCCAGAAGGCCGGTGTGTATCCTCAGCTTTGAGAACTGAATTCCATGGGTTGTGTCAGTGTCAGACCTGTGAAGTTCAGTTCTTCAGCTGGGATATCTCTGTCATCATGGACTTAGGGATCCTGCAGACAGCAGACCCAAGGGTGGCCGAAGAATTTGGAAGACTGGAGACAGAAGGGCAAAGTCTCAGACTCTGAAGGAATGGGGAGGGGGGCTCATGGGAAAAGCACTCATTTAATTGTGAGAAAACTTGAGTTCTATGCTGAGCAGGGTTCCAGCTAGCTAAATGAATGCTCTCTGCAAGTCATTCTGGTTATGGCTACTGCCATAGTTTACATATATTGATTACTTATGGCAATCCAGGTGCTGTACTAAGTGCTTTACCTGCTGTTAGAGGAGACTCTTGGGGAAAGTCACGAACGAAGCTTGAGACACCTAGCACTGCCATGCAATGGTATTTTTCCCTCTTTATGGGATCAGACAGAATTAATAGAATGTTACAGTCATTCTTTAGCATGGACTGCTGAGAGAACTAGTCTCTCTTAAAGATGAGAATTATGGGTACATCCCTCTTATGGTCCCCCTGTCCCTTTACTTGAATCTCTACTTCCTTGCCTTCTATAAATACATTAGGGATACATTGTGTCTTTATATTCCAAGCAAGGCAAAAAGAGGTTGTAATTAGATTTTACCAGGATCCCTAGTTTCTCCCAGGGAAAAGGGATACAGAGGTTTTGAAGGCTCCCTCCATTTCCTGGCGTGGTTAGCTATATTTTGTGGGTCAAGATCTTCTGTTGTCTTCCTCTGTCACCAAGTCAGTTAGGTCTATTCTGAGGCTCAGATTTGCTATGACGATGATGACAATTTCTACCTTTAGGCAAAGGGCTGGGACTGTATAAGTAATATCTGGACTTTCATTAGGTTTTATATCTGATGGGGAATAAAGAGTGTTCTTCATCTCTTGGAAACTCATCTTTGATTCATTGCTGTCTGTTGGTGTGCTGAAGTGTCCATCTCTTTATAGCCTACAGAATGAAAGTGTGGTCTGGCCCGGAGAGGAGAGACACGCACAAAGCATGTGCATTCTCATACCGGCTTCTCAGTGACACTGAGTCAGCGATACTTCTTGTAATCACACCAAGCCTCATTTGGAAAATAGGGACAAAGTAGCAAAAGGATATTGTATAAAAATGTGTAACTACATTCATGGATGTAAAGGGGTGCTTGGTTCTTATGAAAGCCCCCTGGCATGGGTGTGGAGCCTGTGTGTGCTCTCTGGGCTATACCGATCATCTCAAGAACCTCTCCCACCCCTCTCACCCTGCCCACTTCCGCCCTTTACTTACTAGACTCTTGGTCAGTGACTCATTCTTGGACCAGAACATTGGTGAAGCTCAACTGTGACCAGAGATCAGTGTCCTTAGACCTAGACTGCTGGACAAAATCCAGAATTTACACCAGAAGCTCTACATGCTCTGGGTTTCAGAGCATCTGTGCTGTGAACACGAACTTAGACCCAGAACTCTGATTTGCTACAAAAGTCTCATCCTTACTAGAGATGAACTCTTCTTAAAGCAAACCTGAGAAATGAAATATGGAATACACACAGACACATACACACGTGTGTGCACACACATGCATTGAAAAATAGCATGATAGGTCTGTGAGTAGTGGGTAAATATTCACTATATATAAACTGTTTCATTTCCTAATTTGTATTAAGATTCCATTAAGTAATACATATCCCGAGGAGTTTTGAGGTTTTATTTGTTTTGTCAAAACATATTTTATATAAGTAGAAAAAGCAGGTCACAAAATAACTTAGATTATATGATTCAATTTATGTAAAATTATAAATGTATATAGGAATATGTGCTTTGAAAGATGTACATGCGTTTATTAACAGGGATCATCTCTGGGATGGTGGGAATTGAGATGGGTTTTCTATTCTTTGTATTTTTCTCTATTGTTTGATTCTTATACTGAGCATATTTAATTAAAATAATGAAGTTATTGAAGGAAATTTCACACACAATTGTGATGAATCTAGACAGTGCTAATGTTGTGCATTTGTTGGAAGTTAAGTTGCAGAGGTGTGCCACGGAAGAGGAGAGAGAGGTTCTTGATGTGTTCAGTGAAGAAGGTAAGCATAGTCCCATATACAGTGATTTTTTTCCAAGAGGAGCTGTGTGTGTGTGTGTGTGTGTGTGTGTATGTATGTGTGAGTTCAGTAGATTATGGGTGGAAAGGTAGCAGGTGATTTTCTTTTCTGTCCAAATAAGAAAAAAAAAGAACCCTCAATGTATGCACTGCTTTCCAAGAATCCATCCACAGTGTAAACCGGTAGTTTTTCAAAGTGTGTTTCCTGAACAAGCAACATTAGTATCACCTGAGAACTTGTTAGAAATGCAAATTCTCAAGCTCCACCCAAGACCTACTGAATAAGAAACTCTGGGAGTGGGGCGCAGCCAATTTCTGTTTTAACAAGCCCCTTGGCTGACTGATGCACACTGAGGTTTTCGAATCATGGGTGTCAGTCAAGGGACATCCCCACTCCATTCCACAGGAACGCAGCTGATGTTGATGCAAAAGATGCTGTCCCGTTCCTACATGTGTGTATACAGGTATTCTGCAAAACTTATCTCCGAGAGATGAACAGCAGGAGCACAGAATCTCAAGATCCTTACCAATGATCTTTCCAGGAGTGAATAGATCTCTAAGTTTTTAAGCTACAAACTTTAAGTGCATGAAATCACCAGAAGAAGTGGTTAATTAAGGCAGATTTCTGGGTCATTCCCCTGACCTATAGACTTGGCATCTCCAGGGTACTGCCATTTTAACCATCACCCCAAAGGCTCCCATCAAGGAAGTTCTAGGAAGACACTGAGCTTTTAAAGGCTTTTCAAACTTCTTTCTTTCTCACTTTTCCATATATCTTATGTTTCTTCTTCCCATTTTCTCCTTTCCCTCCTGCCGTGATTGATGGGATCTCAGAAGCAGATTCATCATCCTTTCTGCTCTGTGCTCAGGAGAGAACAGGTCAGATGCTCCTGGAGAGGTGCCTTGGGAGTAATAATAGTAATGGAAGTATTGATTTGCCATCCTCAAATAACAGGGGAAGGTCATGATTTATCAGCTCACGTTAATGAAACACAATGGGAAGCTGGACACGCTGCTCAATAGCTGCTGCCTATTCGTGCTGCGTGGCTGTGGAGACACGTGATTCAGGAACATAGTGGCTTCCCAAATTCTCCCAGTAGTCAAATCTTGGTTAGTTAAGGTGCAGATTCCTGTTTAAGGTTCTCCAGAAAAGTGGTATCTCTCTATATGGATGATAGATAGATAGATGATAAGGGATTGGCTCCTGTTGATTATGGAGAGTGGCAATTCCCAAGATCTGCAAGGTGAGTCAGCAAGCTGGAGACCTAGGAGTCTGAGTCTAGAGGCCTAAGAACCATGAGAACCAAGGTGTAGCTCTAGTCCAAAGGAGCTTGAGAATTTACATTTCTAACAAGTTCTAGTCTGAAGGCTCAAGATCGAAAGAACTGGTGTTTCAGTTTGAGTCTGAAAGCAGGGAGAAACCAATGTTCAAGTTCAAGAAGTCAAGGAGAAGGAATTCCCTCTTACTCCCAGGAGGTCAGCATTTTTGTTTCTTTCAGACTTTTTTTTTTTAAGGTTTTATTTTTATTTATTTGAAATAGAGAGAGAGTAAGAGGGCACAAGCAGAGGGCAGAGGAAGAGGGAGGAGCAACCTCCCCACTGAGCAAGAAGCCCGATGCGGGGCTTGATCCCAGGACCCCAGGATCATTACCGGAGTTGAAGGCAGACGCTTAACCAACTGAGCCACCCAGGCGCCCCTCATTCAGGCTTTCAACCGATTGGATGAGGCCCACACACATTAGGGAGGACGATCTGCTTTTCTTAGTTTACCAATCCCAATATTAGTCACATCTATAAACCTCCCCACAGACACACCCAGCATAATGTTTGACCAAATATCTGGGGACCCTGTGGCTCAGTTAAGTAGACACATAAAATTAACCTTCACAATTTCTTTTTCACATATATATTTTTCACATCTAGACTCTCTTGCTCTCTTTCTTTGATAGTATTTCAGAAAGGTAGCTCAGAGCTTGGGTGTCTGGGTGCTTAAAGAGTCTCGAAAAATGCTCTGGGGGGGTGAATAGAGAACCAGCCATCTTGCTCAGTTGGCCTTTGCTCTTTGTAGTGCTAAGGTGTTTTGGGAACAGTTTTTGAAGACGGTATCTTGCTCCTATCTCCTGGGGCAGCTCTTTGAAGTAGAGGAGCTAACTTTGATTATTCTTCAGAAAGTACAGACAATATAATCACAACTTTCCTATAGTAGGTGTTTACAGGTGCCTTATATATAAGGGAAGATATTATCTCTACTTTCTTTTTTTTTTTTTTAAAGATTTTATTTATTTATTTGAGAGAGAGAATGAGATAGAGAGAACACGAGGTGGGGAGGGTCAGAGGGAGAAGCAGACTCCCTGCCAAGCAGGGAGCCCGACGCAGGACTCGATCCAGGGACTCCAGGATCATGACCTGAGCCGAAGGCAGTCGCTTAACCAACTGAGCCACCCAGGCGCCCATTATCTCTACTTTCTAGAGGAGAAAGCTGAAGCTCAGGGAAGTTATATACTTTGCTTAAATTTCACACACTGTTTAGTGCCGCAGCCAGGATGTTAAGGCTGTCTAATCAGAGCCCATGTTTTTTACCAAAGTTTGAACTGGGCTTTACAGTTTAGGAAACACTTGAACACGCATCATCTTTGTGGAGCACGGCATTTCCCAGTGAAGTAGATATAATCATAATTTTAGAGATGGGAAAATGTTTTCAAAAGGTTATGTAACTTTTCTGCTCCCTATGTCATACAGCAGTAACTGTTGAAGCTGGGCCTCAAATCCAAAATTTCTATAATAAAAAGATAATTTTTATTTAAAAAATTCATAGGAATACACACAAACTTAGAAGGAAGGAAAGAAAAAAAATCCCCTGCCTCTGTTTCTCCAATGTGACTAAAAGGAGACCAGTATACATTGAAGCCCACTCTGACTTATTCCATTGCCTCTGTCTCTGGTAAGCAGGAGTGAGCCTTTTATACAGGACCAATTTCACCCTCTGGTGCACAGTCATACTTTAAAATATGTTAAAATTACCAATATGTTGGTAGCTTTTAAGAAACCATAATGTATTTTTGCTCTGGGTCTGTGATGCTACTAAGACTGGTCAGATTCCATTTGTCTCTGGGCAACGAATGTGTTTCTTTGTTTTAAAAACAAAATTATTTTTCTTATTAAATAAATAATATGAGTTCACTGCAAAGAATTTTGAACATGCAAAATAACCATAAAAAATTTGTATTGCACAATGATTATGGTGTTTCCCCCCCACCCCGGAAATTTGGAAAGTGCAGAAAATCATAAAGGAGAAAAAAGTTATCTATAAGTTCAGAGATTGCCATTTTGGGTTGTTTCCTTTCATTTTCACTGTTTCTAAAAATACAATTTGGATCATCCCTTAAATGTAATTTGTGTGTCTGTGTGTTCTGTTTTTTGTTATTTTACATTTTATCATAAGGATTTCCCCATATCCTTCTGTGGTCTTTACTGTACATCTTAAATGGCTGCATATATAGTTCATGGAGTGAATGTGCCTTCGTTTACATGATCATTTCTCTATTACTGGACATTTAGGCCCTGCACCTCCTGACTCCTAATCTCCCACATTCATCTATCTATCTATCTATCTATCTATCTATCTATCTATCTATCTATCTATCTATCTCTCTATCTATGCCACACACCTGTCTCTATTTCCTTTTAGCTTTTTGCTTACATTGATTCAGGCATTGTGATGGCATTAGGAGTATAAAAAAATGCCTAGTAGCTTATTCATCAATACATAATGGTGCTAGTGTTCAGGATTTAATATGGGCCAAGCTCTATTTCAAGACTTTGAATACATTCTCATTAAAGCTTCTGCCTCTCACAATAGTAGATACTGTTGTTATTCCTATTATGCAGATGAGAACACAGAGGCACAGAGAGGTTAAGATAAGTATCAGAAAGGGTCCTTGGGTGGTGCAGTCAGTTAAGTGTCTGACCCTTGGTTTTGGCTCAGGTCATGATTTCATGGATCGTGAAGTTGTACCCTGTTTTGCTCCATGCTCAGAGGGGAGTCTGCTTGAAGATTCTCTCCCTCTGCCTTTCTCCCCCCTCTCAAATAGATAGATAAATCTTTAGAAAAAAAAAAGTATCAGAAGGCACTCGTTTGTTTTGAGCAAGACATCTAGCTCACAGAGTCTTATGCAAATAGGCATTTGTTTTTTCTCATCTAGTCTGAATATGGGCATTTATTAACATTGGTTTGGAGGCTCAGTGACATCAAGACTGCCGTCACTGTAGTCTTGCTCTCCCATGCCTCTTGGTTTTAAAATGGCTGTGATGGCTCTGGACATTCCATCCCACTTGAGGGCAGGAAGAGTGGAACAGTTGGTGCTGACTGTTCAGCACCTTTTATCAGAAAAGCACATTTTCTTCCCAGAACTCCTTCCTTCGCCCAGCAGAATTCCACTCATGACTCATTGTGTTATATGTGACCACTGCAGATTGCAGAAGACGCTGAAACTTTTCCAACCTGTGGAGTGGAAGTTGACTAGAAGAGAGGGATTTGGTAAGGACCATTGGGTCAGCCAACCAACAGTAGTCCCCACAACATACTTGCCAAGGTTAAGTGTTTGTCTTATTTGACCCAAGAGCCTATCTCATACAGGGGCTAGCACCCATCAGCTGGGAATTGCTGTTTCTCACATCTCTGGCCCAGACCAGAAGTGGCCCAGAGCCTGGCAAACCTCATCTCTCATTGACTACAACACCATCTAACACATGCTAACATTTTTCATCAGTATTAGTGTCACTGCAAAGTGCCGTTAAAATAGAAGTGGTTTCATACATTATTTAGCTGCACTGTGTCCACCGAGTCATTCTTTTGCTGAAGAGCTGTCTCCTTGGCATTTATAAACTGGGTAAAAATCTACAGCTCACTGGGTTCGTATCCTCAGGTTGTGGTAGAAGGAGAGGAGGATCCGTGAGCTGTTTGGGCTGAAAAAATCTCCTTTCAGCCCTGGGCACGATAATTAAATGCCTGGTTGCAGGTGAGCCGTGTGAACAGTACATATTCTGCAGATGATGGCTATACCTCACTTCATGAAAATACAGCATTATTGAATTAGTAGGGGCCCCCCAAAGTATCATTTATGAACACCTTTCAGTTGTGGTTCATTCTAGAGCAGAAGTCTAAAGTAGCAATTTGCAGGAATGTTGTGTTCAGGGCCAGGGCGGGGGTGAGTGACATGGCTGGGATGCCAAGTTGAAGGAGGTGCTTGCCTTCTCGCAGTCATGCAGCACCTCCCCCGCCCCAGCTTTGTTTCACCCTCACTAGCTGCTATAATTTAGAAATTGGAAAAATTATGCAACAAAGATTTTTTGATCATTTCTATGTGCTAGGTACTCTTCTAGTCACTATACAGTGATATAGCAATGAATAAAATTGTCATTACTATCCTTATGGTGCTAACATTGTTGTCAAGGAGAGATTTTGTATAGAAATCTAGGTTTCTGGCTTCTTTTTTTTTTTAAAGATTTTATTTATTTATTTGAGAGAGAGAGACTGAGAGAGCACATGAGAGGGCGGAGGGTCGGGAGGGTCACAGGGAGAAGCAGACTCCCTGCCGAGCAGGGAGTCCGATGCGGGACTCGATCCCGGGACTCCAGGATCATGACCTGAGCTGAAGGCAGTCGCTTAACCAACTGAGCCACCCAGGTGCCCGGTTTCTGGCTTCTTGAAGTATCAGAAGAACTGGCAACTCTGGACTGGCTTTTCTTCATGACAACTATCACTGGGATCCGGGGAGCTGGCTCCTCCTTTTCTAGATGTGGCATGAGCCCTGTAGTTCATCCTACTCCCCACCACTCCCCATTGTCATTTGATGCTCAGTGTTCCCATGGAGAGCATACCACTATGATGATGATGATGATTGATGATGATGATGATGATGATGATGATGGCCATATTGCAGATGAGGAGACTGAGGCTCAAAGAGGTAAAGTGATGGGCCCGAGGTTTTCTAGCTATAGATGGTGGAGTGGGATCTGAGCCCACTTCTATGTGATGTCAGAGGTTGAAGATTTTGCTCCTGTGCAGAGCAGTGATTCAGGAGGCAGGAACACAGAAATATCACCAAGCAAAACATGCAGCCCATATAAGATCAAATTAGAGAGGTGTGTTAGCAGGAAACAGATGGCACCCTCAAATTAGGATAACTCAAGCAGAGTTTCATAAAGAAGCTATTTACAAAGACGTGGGCAGGGTGTAGGGAAACCACAAGGCATAGCTCAGAACCTCAGATTAGTAATAGCGGGGCTCCATTACCACTGCTATGGCAAATGAGGGGGTGGGTTACTGGGATTGGGGAAATAGGACTATTCACTGAGAACTCCAAATGAAGCCAGCACTTGGGGACCCAAAAGGGAGGGAACTTGGAGAATAAACCTCCGAATCTCACCAAGTGCTCTCTACTTCTTCTTGTTGATCTCTTGCCAGTGCCAGACCCAACTGGAAGTCAGAGGGCCAGGAGCCCATTGATGCACTTGGGCAGGTCAGCCTCTGGGGCCACAAAGCAGGATGCGGAAGAGAGGAGAGTGGCTCGAGAGGAGCAAACGAAGGCATCTAGCACAAGGGGCAAGCCAAAGCCAGTTAAGAAGTTAAGATGACTGAATTCAAGGTCCAGCTTTGATGGTGTTGGGGAAACAGCAGCTCTTCCTCATTCTCTTTCCCTGGCAGCCTTGGTCAGCAACCTCCTCTACCAGAAAAATTAATTCCATGTCAGAGATTCCTCAAGTTTGTAACATGTAGCTTGAGACTTTTATCTTGATGACTTCCCAAATGGACAAAAGGCTGAACCATGGAGGGTGGTGGTACCCTCTTCCAGCTTTTCAGAGGATTGGCAGAACACATTGAACCCTACCTGTAGGAAGCTTTATTTTAAAACGTCTAAGACAGGTCTGTCTGTTTTAAAATTTCTTCTCTAAAATCTATTCAGCTTAATCCTCCTTGTCAAAAACTGTGTATCCTGCTAAACTGAGCCATAAATTACCACCACTAAAAATCATTTGCTTGCTTGCTTTAAGAATTCTCAGTTTCTGGGGCGCCTGGGTGGCTCAGTTGGTTGGGCGACTGCCTTCGGCTCGGGTCATGATCCTGGAGTCCCGGGATCGAGTCCCGCATCGGGCTCCCTGCTCGGCGGGGAGCCTGCTTCTCCCTCTGACCCTCCCCCCTCTCATGTGCTCTCTGTCTCTCTCATTCTCTCTGTCTCAAATAAATAAATAAAATCTTTAAAAAAAAAAAAAGAATTCTCAGTTTCTGAAATCAACTGGACCATGGCTTTGGATTTTTAGTAGAGGTTTTTATGAGTATTCCTTTCAGCATAAGTAACTGTAACAAAATCAGGAGCACTTTAGGGGACACTTTGATATTCAAATCGTTTATAAACCTAGTATACCTGGCTCAGAAAAAATGTGCTTCTGAGAATACATGGGGTGGGGGTGGGGGTGGGGGTGGGGGTGGGTGGGGAGGGACAGAGTTGCTGGGTAAGAACACTCATAAGAGGAGCATGGCATCATAATTAATTTAGGGAATAGTGTGACACCATGGTACCTACAGCCTCCCTCTTTTTGGGGGGAGGCTGTTAACAGAACCCCAGGATCATTCAGAGCAGACAAGTCATGTGCCTCAAAGAGGGTTGGCTTTTCCAGTCCCAGGGAGCAAATCATTTGTCCATTCTGAGCTCAATGACCTCATCACATTTATTAGCCATTGGATTAGCAGGGGGCAAAGAATGCAATTCTGACTAACAGGATGTGAGAAATCTGCTGTGGATGCTTCTAGAATACGTTCTTCTTGATGCTAAAAAGAGTGACATAGGAAGAGAGCCTCTTTTTTCACTGGGTATTATCATAGCTGCTTGGGATGCCTAGAGCAGTGGCAACCAGTTAATGATGTATACGGGGCCAGGTGGCATGCTGAGGATGGAGGGCACAAAGATGCCTTAGGACATCATAAGTCAGTCAATCACTGAGGTAACCGACCCTGGTGCTCTTCTACCTCATGTCTGTGTATGTGAGACAGTGTGTTTCTTGTATTATTGCCACACAGACAGGAGGCTCAGATCTTTATGCATCACACAGATGCATGACATTCAGGAGTTGAAGGGGAAGATGAACTGATGATTTTTTTTTAAATTTAATTTAATTTTATTATGTTATGTTAGTCACCATACAATACATCATTAGTTTTTGATGTAGTGATCCACAATTCATTATTTTCGTATAACACCCAGAACTGATGATTTTTTTAAAAAAGATTTTATTTTATTTATTTGAGGGAGAGAGAGAGAGAGAGAGTGAGTGAAGGGAGAGGCAGAGGGAGAGAATCTCAAGCAGACTCTGTGCAGAGTGCGGAGCCCAATGCGGGGCTCGATCCCACGACCCTGAGATCATGACCTGAGCTGAAATCAAGAGTTGGATGCTCATTTAGCTGAGCCACCCAGGTGTCCCAGGAACTGATGATTCTGACACATTGTTTTCCTAAATTTTTTTTGATTCCAAAAATAATATACAAATGTAAAAATTCAATCAAAATGGAAATATTAAGAATAGAAACTAGAAGTCTCCTATAATTCTTCACCTCCTACCTCCACACATTAATGTAATGTTAAGAAAATAAGATCAGAATAGTCATACTTAACATCTTGGATGTCTTTTGTATGAATACATGTAGATCTACCTCCTTTTTAATTAACTGCGTAATATTACAAATATGGATATATCATACTTTTAAAGACCTAATATAGGTGCTTTTAAATAATGTGACCCATGGGTAACTGTATTCATGAACCCCCAATCTCTGCCATCAGTTATCAACAGCAAGTTTTGCTGTCACTCAGAGAGGCACGCTCAGGGAGAAGCTATGTGGCCCAGCAGAAGGGGCAAAGGATCTAGGTCAGGCAGATTGGGGCTGGGATTCAGCCCTATGACACACCAGCTGTGTGATCTTGGAAAGTCATTAAACACTTTATGCCTCAGTTTTCTAATCCCTAATAAAAGGGGGGGGGGCAGATAATAAAACGTACCTCTTGAAATTGTTGTAAGGGTTAGAAATAATGTATGAAAGCACCTATCACCCAGCATGGTTGTTCAATGAACAACAGCTATTATTCTAAGAAAGGAGCCTCCTCCATGAAATAGTTTAACTATTTTTGGTTATCCTCACTGTGGATGCAACAGACAAATACCCACATGCACTTGGGAATCTAAAATAATTTTCTGAAATTATTGAGCAGTTGTCCCCCAAACGGTGAAAAGTAGGTCCATCCATGAAAGCAAACAATTGAAACTCTCCACTGTGTTAGTCCTATGCAGAAGATGGCATAAACATTTAATCTCCATTTCATGGGCAGAGGCTTGCAGACAGAGTGTGAGCAATTTATCAAATAGGCTGGAAAAAGACATCATTCATAGTAAGATCTCAGTGGGCTGGAGTGACAGGCTAAATTAAACAAGGTGAGCTTTGTTAAGGAAAAATGTAAAATTTAACTGTTTGGTTTCTTTCTTTTTTTGGTATAATATGGAATGGGAGAAATGTGATTTAATAGCAGGTATGAAAAAGCCTTAGGGGTTTTATGTGGCTGAAGTTCAATGTGAAGTCAGGATGTGATCCATCCGTCTAAACAAACAAATGTGATCTTAGCCCTCATAAAGAGAAGTAGCAAATTCATAATGAGGAAGGTGATGCCTCCACTTACTTTGTCCACATCAGATCACATGGTCTAACACTAAAATGGCAAGTAACGGACATATAGGCTGAGGCTTTTTTTTTTTTTTGCATGCCCATGGCAAATAAAACTCATTACTCATATTGCATGGAGTTCAGCTGTAACCTCTGAGTCCGTCTCAACATAGTTTGTAAAGCAGCCAATATTTTTTGAGTGCAGTTGGCATGCAAAATGAAATGTATTGGTAGCCAGCAGACGGCAGGCTACTCCTATGATCTTCTAGGGGGCAGCCCATACTTCTGTCATATGGTCCAACCTTTTACCAACCACAACACATTGGATATGGACCCAAGGGCTGCCGATCTACAGGCTGCATTGAAGAGCTTTATCCAAACCATAACGAGCTCGCCCAATCTGATGATTTCTTTGGGGAATTTGAACTTAGGGGGGTGGGTGGGAAGAACAAAGCAGGCAGCTGGTAACAGGCCCAGAAGCTCAAATGTTCATGGAGAGAGGCAGTGCTAGAGGCCAAGAGGGGGGATAAGGAACAGAAGAAAACCGAAGCAAGAATGAGGAAGCAGAAGCTATGAGGTGGAGACAATCTACAAGGGGAGAGGAGATAAAGAAGGAGTGGCAGCTGCAGGAACAGTGGAAGAAGAGGCAGAGAGCTAGACAAAATCGGGAGACAGATTTCAGGGCAACAGAAAGGAGACTTTGCAAGCAGGTAAGGGTGGGTGGAGATTGGTTTGGGCCGGGTGGAGAGTGAGCTGCTCATCCCTTGTGGTATTCAAGGAGGGGCTGCATGACCGTCAGTTGGTAGATATTGCAGAGGGTTGCGAGGTCCGCAGGAGAGAGAAGAGGAGATTGAAAGGGGAAGTGTGAATTAGGAAGGCTCTGTAAATCAGGAACAGCTATTGAGGCCTGGCATCCTAGGTCTCTCATTGCCATGGTGACAAGGGGTGGGGAGGTAACAAGTCAGCTGTGCATCTGGGAGCCTCAGGTGGGGCTTCTTGCCATTGGAGGTACACCCACTGTCCTAGTCTCTGCCATCAAACAGATCCTAGCATCTAGAACCGGGATCCCACTTTGGGATTTGCTTATATCCTTATCTCTATATTCTTGCCCCTCATTAAACTCTTTTTTTTTAAAGATTTATTTATTTATTTATTTGAGAGAGAGAGAATGAGAGAGAGCGAGTACATGAGAGGGGGGAGGGTCAGAGGGAGAAGCAGGCTCCCCGCTGAGCAGGGAGCCCAATGCGGGACTCCAGGATCATGACCTGAGCCGAAGGCAGTCGCTTAACCAACTGAGCCACCCAGGCGCCCCAAGATTTTTTTTTTTTTAAGATTTTATTTATTCATTTGAGAGAGAGAGAATGAGAGAGAGCGAGTACATGAGAGGGGGGAGGGTCAGAGGGAGAAGCAGGCTCCCCGCTGAGCAGGGAGCCCAATGCGGGACTCCAGGATCATGACCTGAGCCGAAGGCAGTCGCTTAACCAACTGAGCCACCCAGGCGCCCGAGTCATTAAACTGTCTTAAGCAAAGGCAGAGACTCCAATATTGGGGAAAACAGGTGGAGGCTATCTGATCACTCACCCAAACTTCTTGGGACAGGAAGCTGCACCTAGGATAATGAATACCAATGGATAGTTGTATTTGGTGGGTAAGAGTGTTGGTTCTGGAGTCAGAACCCTGGATATGTACTTGCATGCCTTTGAGCAAGTTACCTCTCTCTGCCTTATTTTTCTTATCTTTTAAAATGAGATTGATACTAAATGTTATAGGCTTGTTTTAGATTGGAGAGACTAGCACTGTGCCCAGTCCTTGATGAGCACTCAATATATTTAACTATTATCATTGCTCTTACTGTTATGTCTCATTGAACTCCTGAAGTGTCTCTGAGAAGAGTAGAGTAGGTTTCTTCAACCCCATTTTACAGCCCCAGCAACTGAGGCAAAGGGTGGGTAAGACCTGGGCTGGTATCACACTGCTTTGGCATTAGTGTTAGAATAGAGATGACCCTTGGTTTTCCTGACTTCAAGTGCCCAGGACAAAGACAAATTTAGTATGTATGTTCTAGAAGGAGGAACAGAACTTATTTTTTGAAAAGGCATATATGCATGTGAGAAACATTTTTCAAAAAGGTGTGGAGTGGAAAATACATCCCCATTCTGCCCATGGCCCTAACCTCCAGTCTTCTGGTCCCTTTCTGCTGATGGATTCTGGGCATCCCTCAGGAGCTGCTTCATGCCTGTACAAGCCTAGTGTATATAAATTTCTGGGTGCTATTTCTAAGGCTGCATGCTGCTCCTGCCTCCTGTTCCGGGCATGTGTGTGTGTGTGCACGCATGGGCAGGGCAGGCAGGGCAGGCAGGGCAGAATTTATGAGGGCAGAAGTGGTGGTCTGGGGCCTAAGCTTGCCCTTGGAAAGAGAGGCCAGTAAGTCTTGGGCAGCACCAGTGATAGATGAAGGCCAGTGTTGGGTGGCTGCCTTCTGCCACTTCGGGACT